ACTTTTTTACTTCTAGAACTAGGAAGTATCATAAAGGATGTCGGCCGGACCGGACTGCCACTGATGGTTACTGGAAAGCCACGCGGGGCGACATCATTGTACAAAGTAAAGGCCAAGAAGTTGGATGGAAAAAGGTGCTTGTCTATTATGAAAAAAATCTGATAATAACAATAAAGGAACAAAAACTAACTGGATAATGCATGAGTTTACGATTCATCAAATGACGGACGTCGCACATTCTTCTACAGATGCAATTCCAGATGACAAGACGGTATGTTAAAGTTTTCAAATTCTTTGGTTAATTAATTGCGTTCTTCTATTATTGTTTTTTGGATAATTACTTGAAAGCCCATATAGGGTTCTTTAATTGAAAGCTAAATGAAGTAAATCCAAAGTATGGGGACCAAACTATAAATATTTAATGGTTGATTTGGACCACAAAAGATACTTTGAAAATTGATAGGAGTCAATTTAATGCAAATTGGAGTAAAAAAGGAAAGGGATATGATTAGAATATTACCATAAATCGACTTCAAATCATATAATAAGATATCTTCAAAATTTTTGGTCAACTTGAGACCCATTTTCCGGATGGAGAACGTTTGATTTGGAAAAATTTTATTTATAGAAGAATTTTAGATTTTTTAATTAGCTTTCCAATGCACTTTGAATCACCTGAATCGGACACCAATAGAGAAAGTTATGATCAAAATACTGAAAGTTGTGTAGAGACAAAATTATGTGCGCGCGAAGGCAACTTTCCTTATTTGATTCAAACTCTTTTGGAAGACAATTTGGACATGAATTTTGACCTAATTTCATCATATAAATACAAAATATGGGCAACAATGAAAGGGTCTCTCTTGCCTCTTCGTACACAATAGTTTCATCAAATTCGTCAAGAACAATGGGTCAATTACTATATTTTGAAAGAGGAGATCAAGCCATAGCAAGGAATTGAAATTCAATTACATCAAGTTTTGAAGAATTCAACTTTGGACAAGAAGATCAACATCTTTTGTATTCTTTCATAATCCGAGTGATATTTTTCTATTATTCTTCTTGTAATTTATATATTAATATGCTATGCTAGTTTTTCATTGTATTGGATGAATGATGAACCCTATTGTTTGTTTATTTTAATTCAAGACAATTAATTTAGTATTTCATGATTTTTTCTTGATTGGTTTTGCATTCCCATTGAACAATTTAATTGCTTGATCACCAATTAGATAGTAAGTTGTTTGTTGTAGTGTAGGAATACTCATAAGAAGTTTAGAACGCGGTAAAATCAACACATGAACAATAGGTGTTAGGAATAATATCTATGGCATGTGCAATCATGTGTGATAAATCCTATGAATCAATGCATGCTTTTCATATGAATTCAGATTAGGAATAGGATCAGGTCGTGTTAAACATAGGTTTAATATATATTGGGAAAGAATATTGAATAAAAGTGGATTATCGATTGTCTTGAATGAATGAATTCACTAGATTATAAATTAAGAGTTGAATTAAATAGCAATAGGGGGATTCACGATTCCAATACAAATATTCACATATTAAATAAATATTTTATTTGCTTTCTTAGTTTAAGATTAGCATAGAAAACATACAAATCACAACTTTTTTTGATTTTATGTTACTTCGAATTTAGTAAAAACTACTTAACTAAATATTAGACCTTATTTCTCGTGGAAACGATACTCTTAACTCACAAGTTTTATTACTTGTACAACGATCACACACACACACACACACACACACATATATATATATATATATATAACTTTTCATTAATCGATCAGTTCACATATATTACTGTTGTTAGGAACGAATTGAAATTTTAAACAATAATTCTAGATGGTTTTTTCTTTTTTCTTTTTTTTATTCTTTTTTTAAATCCATCAAACAATTCATAAATTTTGATATTTTTGTAACAGGAATTTGTTTTATATTTTTTTGCAGTTGGATAAGTGCGTATGTAGAATTTACTATAGAACATCAAAATCGAGTAGAAACGTAGAGCAAGACACACAAATAAACATGATCCCAATTCAAGAAACTGATGTCGCCGATGCAAATTTGGCAGCAGCGTCGTTTTTTCACCATCACAGTCCTGTGCCGGCCTTTGATCAGTCGTCCTTGCATGGTGCTTATCTTCCCGACCTGCAAGCAAGCTTTAACAATCAATATCAGTTGGTCCATGAACCTGTTACGTACACGCATGGAGAAGTGGCAATGCAATTGCAAAGTAATATTCTTCAATCTCCTCAACCTTTTTAGCACATTCCTGGTGATCAGTATTATCCTTCGATTCCACCTGAGACTGTTATTCAAAGCAATGATCAGTATAATCCTTCGATTCCACCTGAGACTAGTATTCAAAGCAATGATCAGTATTAACCTATTACACACATTAATGGTGATTATGGTGATTTCTTGGATTTCATGACTCCATATTTTTCATCTCTATTTGGTTTTTTACAGCCATTGGATGATAATATAATGGATTCTCTTTTAGGCGATTCGTCTAATGCCCAATTAGAGTATTTGCCAATTCCACAAACACATGGCGTTGTAGGTGGCTCGGGTACAAGTAATTTTGCAGCTTCCACTGAGGACTTTTATTTACCTTGGCCTCCAATAGAATGGCGTGATTAAATTTGGCTGCAAAGTTGCTGGATCTATACTTGAGGACAGAATGTGAAAATCTTCTATCAAGAGAAGAATGCCATTTTTTGCAAGTTTTCTAAGAATTTAAACTGTTGATTATGTATTGTTGCGGAAATATTAAATATCACATCAAATTGTTCAATTGCTAGATGGTGTACTTTTATCTGAGCCAATCCATCGTTTAATGTTTGTAGTTACTTGAGATAGAAAAGTGTTCCTTGCATAACATTAAATTGAGTAGTTTAGCATTTTTCAATATTTGTTTTGAAAGATTATTTTCAATATTATTAACTGATTGATATTAGTGTAATTTTAGTTTATTAATCCAGTAGAAGAATGATTGTTTATTGGGTTTTGAAGTTAGACCAGCTTGGGGTCATGATGAGGTGATTTTTATTTGTGATCACTAATCCTTCAACAAATTTTTAATGAAATTAATAGAATTTAATTTGTCTCAATTAAATTATTGGCTTCAATTTAGTGTGATTGTGTCACTATCTTCAATTTTAGTTTCTGCTCTCTTACTTTGTTGTATCCTAGATTGATTATAAAATTTTTATTAGGCCATACCGCAATAGATCTTTATATAATCTATGGGTGACATGTCAACTAACCGCTAAACAACATTGTAAGTGTTATAAAAAAATAAATAAATAATATATATATATGAAGAAGAAGAAAACCTTTAATCTAAAGACATTATCATAACCTTGATAATAAGTGATCTAATTGAGATAAAGTTTGATAATTGTAGAATAAAATGATATTCAATCATTAAATTGAGACAAATTTAAATTTCTTTGACAGAATCAAAATTTTTTGCTAAATGTTCAGTGATAGATGAAATTTACCCTTGATCGTACAAGATTGAGCCGATGCTTTATTCTATTCTTCATTCTTTGATAGATACGAGGTTGAAAATATTTCTAGGAAATCTTATTGGAGGATGATTTGGTCACTGAATTTTGATTGAAATCTCAGTTAAGTCACTTAAATTTTATATGAGCCAATCTATTGATTAAAAATTTGTAGTTAGTTGTGATAGAAATTTTGTTTCTTTCATGAAACATTAGAGCGAATAATTTAGGGTTTTTCAATATTTTTTTGAAAGATTATTTTCAATATAATTAATTGATGGATATTAGTGTAATTTTAGTTTATTCATCAAGATGGTTAAGGTGTTTTTTCCCCGTTATTTAATGTAGACTTTATAATTTAAGGATTTATGCTCTAATCGTTTCGGTGATACTACATCTTCTATAACAATAAAGGATAAATACCCATTTTTGCATATAAAACATCATAATTAATTAAGCACTCAGCTGTAATTTTTACAATCAAATATAAGTTAAATAATGAGTGATTATGTTTGTTGGGTTGTGTGCCCATATAGTATATTTTGCTATGATAAAATAATTATTTATAATAAATAAATTGTAGTTTTATTTATTTATTGTATTTTTCATTATTGAGCATGCAAATTAAAGTGCCTATAATCACTTGAGATAATATAAGTTGAATACTTGCGTTGAGAAGTATAGTGTGACAACTTATATTTTAATTATAAATAATTTGTTCACAACCACTGTATAAGGATTAGCACCTTATACT